AAAAAAGTAAACACACGAAATTATATAGGATTCAATTGTACATTTCTATAATACAACATCTACAAATGTTCTTAATGGCATCTAGAATGGTGAATCCTTTCCAGAAAATTTTCAATTTACTTTGCCCAGGTCCATCAGAGGGATCACTATCTATGTAAGGTGTAGCCTTATGGAACGTATTTCTTAAATAATAAGACTGGAAATTCATAATTACTCCTTGATCCATGGGCTGTTGAAAGGATGTTGTTTTAGCAGGCATGAAAATAAAACAAAACATTTATTTCACTGTACATCTCTATCAGAGCTCTTGGATGACCAGGTCCATTTTCAATGAGCTGTGCTACTGTAAAAGGATTTTTTTTTTAATCCTAAGCAGTAGGTCTCAATAGTGGGCTTAAAGTATTCAGTAAACCTTGTTGTAAACAGATGTGCTGTTATCCAGGCTTTGTTGTTCCATTTGCAGAGCACAGATAGAGTAGATTTAGCCTAATTCTTACAGGCCCTAAAGATGTTCAGAATGATAAGTGAGCTTTAGTTTCCACTTAAATTCACCAGCTGCATTAACCTCTAACAAGACTCAGCCTGTTCTTTCAAGCTTTGAAGCCAGGCATTGACTTCTCCCCTCTAGGTATGAAAGTCCTAGGTGGCATCTTCTTCCAAAATAAGGATGTTTCATCTACAATGAAAATCTGTTGTTCAGTGTAGCTGCCTTCATTAATTATCTTAGCTAGATGTTCTGGATAACTTGCTGCAGCTTCTACACCAGCACTTGCTGCTTCACCTTGACTTTTATGTTATGAAGATGGCTTCTTTCCTTAAGCCTCATGAAACAACCTCTACTAGCTTCAAACTTTTCTTCTGAAGCTTCCTCACCTCTCTCAGACTTTATAGAATTAAAGACAGTTAGGGCCTTGCTCTGGATTAAGTTTTGGCTTAAAGGAATGCTATGGCTGTTTTGATCTTCTTTCCAGACCACTAAAACTTTCTCCATATCAGCAATAAGGTGTTTCACTTTCTTATCATTTGTGTGTTCACTGGAGTAGCACTTTTAATTTCCTTCAAGAGTTTTCATTAGCATTCACAACTTAGCTGACTGTTAGGCACAAGAAGCCTAGCTTTCAGCCTGTGTCTGCTTTTGGCCTCTCTCAGCTTTTGACATGACTTCCTCACTAAGCTTAATCATTTCTAGCTTTTGATTTAAAGTGAGAGATGTGCAAATTTTCTTTTCAGTTAAACACTTAGAGGTCATTGTAAGGTTATTCACTAGACTAATTTCAATATTGTTGTGTCTCAGAGAATAGAGAGGCCTGAAGTGAGGGAACGAGATAGTGGAATGGTCAGAATACACATGACATTTATCAGTTAAATTCACCATCATATATAGGCGTGGTTCGTAGCACCCCAAAACAACTACAATAGTAACATCACAGATCACCATAACCAATATAGTAATAATGAATACTTTTTCAATATTGAGAGAATTACCAAAATGTGACACAGTGACATGAAGTGAGCAAATTCTGTTGTGAAAATTCTTGCTTGGTGCAGAGTTGACACAAACCTTCAATTTGTAAAAATGCAATATCTGCAAAGTGTGAAAAAAATGAAGTGCAGTAAAAGGAGGTATGCCTGTATGGATTCAAACTTAAGCCTTCAGTTCTACTTCATTTTATTAAATACTGCAATTGCCTTTTATAAGTGACAATATTTATAAAAGGGCTAAGAAAAAGATACTCTAAAATTTAGTTACCTATTACTGGTAGTGTATGTAAGTTCTGAACTTTGTCAATATGATGGAATCCTCAGTATGTCATTCTACTTTCTATCTACTCTCCAATGAAAGAAAAGAAAAAAAAGTAAATGAGAGAGAGACAGACAGAGACAGAGAAAGATTGGCCCAGTGTGTAAAACTTACTCAGTGGCTAAAGTGAGTCATATGCAGTCAATCAAATTGGAGTATACATTTGAGAAAGTTAAGAAATGATTAAAATGGTTTATGTGATGATCATATTTAGCCAGAAATTAGATTTTTATAGACATTTTTATGGCTTCAGAGTGGCTGCCTCATGAGACTATTGAAAATTTCTTGGCAATATAGTAAATTGGTATAAATAAAAAATAAATGTATTGGTTTAAAGTATCTAAATATGACATTGCAATATCTAGTATTGTAGAGAAATATTTAGTTAAGCTTAAAGATTAATTTAAATTATTATTTTGGAACTATTTTGTTCCTAATTTCAAGGTAAACACTTTCTTCTATGTACGTTCCTAAGAGTATTATTTTGTACCTTTGGTTTGGTGTTCATTTTTTTAAATTTACACTTACATTGTTGTAAAACTTATTAAATGAATGTAGCATACTTGCTGTTTCATCGATGCAGAGTACCATTAATGACTGTGGTGGTTAATTTTATGTGTCAGCTTGACTGACCCATGGAATGTGTAGATTTTTGGCCAAACATTATTCTGGATGAGTCCGTGAGGGTGTTTCTAAATGAGGTCTACTTACATTAGTGAGGACAATCTGTGTTCCTCAGTCTATGATTCAAACCACTGTAACTAAATTCTTAGAGTTTAACACTATCCTTAGACATTAAAATTATTTGCATTTTTATACGATCAATGCAGCATTACAAAAGCATTATTATAACAAGAACTTTACCTGCTTTATTGGATTTATATAGATACTAAAATAACTAAAGAAGGGGTATAAAAGGAGACAACAGTACTGCATTTTTATGCACATCCTGCTGTAAAACTCAGTTTCAGTCACATAATAGGAAAAGGAAGAGAAGTTGATTTTGAGCAACAAAAATGATTCAAGCTGTTTATCAGAATGTGTTTTGTCTGCAAAAGTAAGATACCAGACAGGAAACTGTTAATACTTATTTCAAGAATTTAAGTAATTTAACAGGAAGTTTTCATGTTTGGCTTTTATGGTATGATTAACCTTTGAACTATATAACTGCTGTTCCTATAGATTATATGGCATCTGTATTTAGAATACAGGAATACATTGGATTTTCGGAAAAGTCATGATGCATTTTTGCAACAAAAAACATAGAAACATACGTCATGACTTTTCCAACAACCCAATAAATAGATAATTGAATGACATGTTAAAATACCAATCCATTATGATTCTCCACATAATGGTGTAGCTTCAGTAATATGTTTGAAATCGAATTTTGAACAATTACCAGGGGTGCTAAGAAGAGGGGAAAGTTTTACAAGGAATTTTTAGATAATTCAAATATTATACATTTGAAAATTTTAAGGTCTGTATAAAACTGTGGAGAGGGGCGGCCGGTTAGCTCAGTTGGTTAGAGCACAGTGCTCATAACACCAAAGGTTACCAGTTTGATCCCCACATGGGCCACTGAGTTTCACCCTCCTGAACTAGATTGAAACAACTACTTGATTTGGAGCTGATGGGTCCTGGAAAAACACACTGTTCCCCAATTTAAAAAACAAACAAACTGTGGAGAAATGCTCTTTACCTATATGCATCTCAATCGTAACACTGTAATGTTAATTTTATGTTATTTTTAGTTGTGATTCTCTATTGTTCACTTTTATGCAGTTGCCTTTTAGTTTTGAATCTTAAACAACTGTAGCAATTTTCATAGCTTGAAATATTTATCTTTTGGTTGTGTTTCACAAAAAGATCCATCTCTTGTGTTGTTCCCTGCTTCAGAAGTTAAGTTCATTTTCCTCTTTGCATCAGGGAATTATTAGCAGTAATGGTAAGGGTATATTTAATATCCTCTGTCTACTTTTTCTTGCCTCCCTACAGACAATCTTTCATGTCACTGTCACTTATCTGAATAAACATAGATACCATGTAACTTTCAAAGAACTAACACATTAAAGAACATGTTCATTTAATTTATTACTGTACAATTACTAATAAAATTAAGAGGCATTTTAAGGTAGTTAGGTTAAAGGAATGGACTACAAATTGCTTTTAACCAAAATATGTGTTTTCATTAAGACATAAAAAGTCCGTTCAATGGAATCATCTGATTTATTAATTTTGATAGTTCTTAAGCTCTTCTAGTTAATATTAACCCATTAATATTATTTTTTCCTTATTGAATAATATTTAATTTTCATAGGAAATCATAATTTGCACAATTTTAGAAACTAAAGTTCTAACAGTGCAAAAACATCAGGAAAATTATATTTCCTTATTAGTGTGAATTCAATTTGAAATATGCACTTGCACAATTTAATTTTTGGCAGTATTTTCATTTCTCCAGACTTTGAGTTTTAATTAAAACTTTTTAGTTTCAAAATGAGAAACTTGCCTGAGTACAGCTCAACCAGACAAACATTTTAATCTACTGTCTATTATGTGCAAATAATTTGCAAAATATATGAGTTTACAATGCCTTTTAATTTTATCCCAACATTATAATATTTACTTGGAAAGGTTTTATATTGTGTGTGTGTGTGTGTGTATCACAGTGCCAAAAAATGTATACACATTTTAAGAAAGGAAAGCTGTACTAAAGTTGTAATACTCAATATATACTGATAACAAAAGATAAATGTAAGTCATGTTTGACTTTTGCAATTACAAGAGGTGCTCAAAGTGGTTACCATCAGTGTCCAGACACTTCTGACTATGGCAAACTACTGCTTAAGCAACCTTGACTAAAGTGTCCACTTGTATAAATATTTTTGGCACCCGCAGTATATATTTATTTATATCAGTAAAACAAATCAGTAAGTTAGATATTGGGTTACTATATCATTACTACAAATTAATTTGGGGTAATAGGGGTCCAGGCCATCAGCAGACTTTCTTGTGTTGTTTCTTGTCCTGGATTTTGAAGAGAGAGCCCTGCCTGTATCTCATGAAACCCAAAGAAGTATGAACTATTCTCAGATTCAGATTTAAAGATTCACCCATTATAGACATTGAAACTTGGCCTGGTTATTAAGAATAATATTCATCTCTTAACAAATTAATTTGAAGCAATTGATTTTACCATTGTGTACGAATGTGCCACACTGTGGAGCTCTGGACATCCCTGGGCATCTCCAAATGAGCGAATCCCTAAGCAGTTTGAAGGATGGAGGTGCCTTATGAGAAAATTAGAGCAAACTTCAATGACTTGAACCACCTGCAGGAGGCAAGCTGCAGACATCAAATTTTCTACAGTATCTTCTTCCAATTGCAGGACACCTAGATGGTTTGGAAAAGTAAAAAATTATTATATGTCCCATAGAGTAAGACACAAATATACTAGCTAGTTGAAAATTTCAGTTTCTTTCATTGGTAAGATTACCTTTTGTAGTGTACAGTAACTACTTGGAACACCTTTTGAAGCCAACATATGCAAAGGAGTCTATATAAACACTAATAAGATGGCTGAAGGGAGCCAGACTAGATTATCAAAGACAACTGTAGCAAATGAGCAGTGAATGCCATCATCGGAAAAGAGCTGCTTGTTATTTCTCTATCATCTGAGACATGCATCTAAAATTTTATATAAAAACCTGTCCACATTATGACTCAAGGAGCATTATGTAATATTGTGTAAGGGTAATACGATTTGTCATATAGGTTAACTGACATTTGTGTGGAAAAATATTTTGGTAAATGAGGACATTGAGCTTATATGTCCATTTTTTTTCATCTGTATTTGCTAGCTGATAAGGACGCCTTTGCCCAGATATTATGCCTGGCACTGTCTCAAAGGAAAGAAAATGTTGCCAAGAGTCTTTCAATGTCACCCCAATAAATTTAATTTAAAAAGATTCCTTTTATAAAGCTCCTTACACTACAGTGGAATCAAAGGAAAGGAGGGGATAGAAAGATATTTAATACCAGTTATTCAACAATAAAAACAATAAATTCATAAGAAAGAATTACTTATGATTATTTTGTTAGGTATAAGAAACAGGTTCTGTTTAAAAATATCTATAAATAATTTTTTAAATGAGATCAACAATTAAACTGTTTCCTTTATATTGATATATCTGTATTAGTTTTGGGGCAAACATTACTGATGAATTATTGAAAACGTTATGTTATTTTGATATGTTATATTCTCACTTTTCTGTTTTAGCCAAGCTTTAAGTATGTCATAAAGAATGACATGTCATATGGATTTTATAAACTATAAACTATTACTTTATAATCTGGCCTTGTAAAATACCTTAATATGGATTCTGTATGTTGTAAAACCATAGAGAAAATATAACATATACTGTGAGATGTTCTATATTTGGTTTACCTTTTAAACCATATGTTGTAAAGGGGTCCAGGCCATCAGCAGACTTTCTTGTGTTGTTTCTTGTCCTGGATTCTGAAGGGAGAGCCCTGCCTATGTCTCATGAGCCCCAAAGAAGTATGAACTATTCTCAGATTCAGATCTAAAGACTCATCTGTGATACACATTGAAACTTTGCCTGAATATTAAGAATAATATTAATTTCTTAATAAATAAAACCATAAAATTACTAGAAGAAAACATAATGAAAAAGTTCCTTAGCATTAGTCTTGGCAGTAATTTCTTGGATAAAACACCAAAAACCTAGGCAATAAAAGCAAAAATAAACAAGTGGGCTACATCAAACTAAAGAGCTTCTGCACAGCAAAGGAAACAAAAAATAAACTGAAAAGGCAACTTATAGAATGAGATAAAATATTTTCAAGCTAGGTATCTGATTGATAAGGGGTTAATATGCATAAAATATAAAGGACTCATACAAAAACAAATAATCCAATTTAAAATTGGGCAAAGAACATGGATAGACATTTTTCCAAAGAAGACATGCAGATGGCCAACAAGTACATGAAAAGATGCTCAGTATCACTAATCATCAGGGAAATGAAAATCAAAACCACAATGGGATATCACCTCACACTTGTTAGGATGACTGATAATCAAAAAGAGAATGGATAACCAATGCTGGTGAGGCTTTGGGTAAAAGGAAACCCTCATGCACTGTTGGTGGGAATGTGAATTGGTACACCCATTATGGAAAACAGTATGGAGGTTCCTGAAAAAATTTTAAACTAGATCTACCATATGATCCAGAAATCCCACTCCTGGATAAATATCTAAAGGAAAGAAAATCAGGATCGAGAAATCTATGCTCCCACATTTATTGCAACATTATTCACAACAGCCAAGATATGGAAACACCCTGTCTTTTGACAGATGAATGGAACATATATAATACACACACACACACATACATATGTATATATATATGTATGTATGTGTGTGTGTGTGTGTGTGTATATATATATATATCATCATCATATACGTGTGCCAAAAAATGTATATACATTTTAAGAAAGGAAAACTATACAAAAGTTGTAATACTCAATATATACTGATAACAAAAGATAAATACAAGTCACGTTTGACTTCTGACATTACAAGAGGTGCTCAAAGTGGTTACTGTAAGCATCCAGACACATCTGATTACAGCGAACTACTACTGCTTGAGCAACATCGACCAAAACGTCCACTTGTATACATTTTTTGGCAGTCCGGGGTGTGTGTGTGTGTGTGTGTGTGTGTGTGTGTGTGTGTGTGTGTGTGTGTAATGGCAATACATAATGAAATATTATTCAGCAATGAGAAAGATGGAAATCTGCCATTTGTGACAACATGGGATGAACCCAGAGGGTATTATGCTAAGTGAAATAAGCCAGACAGAGGAAGTATGGTATCACTTTTATGTGGAATCAAAAAGAAAAAAAAAGTGCTGGAGCCGGCCAAGTGACTCAGTTGGTTAAGAGGGCGAGCTCTGAGGAACAGGGTTGTTGGTTCGATTCCCACATGGGCCAGCGAGCTGCACCTGATCTGAGCTGCCACTGAGCTGCCAACAGGTGGCAGGATGGTTCAGCTGGTGAGAGCACGTGCTCCTAACAACAAGGTTTCCGGTTCGACTCCGCTACACTCACCCACAACTAAGCTTGAAGGACAACAACTTGGCTGTCCCCCTACCCCAATTCTCCAACACTGTTCCCCTTCTCCAATTCCCCAATAAAATATTGTAAGAAAATGCTGATTTCATAGAAAAAGCAAGTACATTGATGGTTGCCAGAGGCAGAGGGGAAAATAGTAAATGTAGGTTAAATAGGACAAACTTTGAGTCATAAAAGTTCTGGGGATCTAATGCATGGCATGGTGATTATAGTTAATAACATGTATACTTGAAAGTTGCTGACAGTATATCTTATATATAGCTATATATTATATAACTATAGTTAATAATATGGTATTGGGTATTCTATACTTGAAAGTTGCTTAGAGTATATCTTAAGCATTCTCACCACACATGAGAGTTAACTATTTAAGATGATATATGCATTAATTAACTTGATCTTGGTAATCATTTCACAATGCATACATATATCAAATAATCACACTGTATACTTTAAGTATATATAATTATACTTGTCAATTATTCCTCAATAAATTTGGAATGAATACATATATATATATATATATATATATATATACATACATACATACACATACATACATACATACATACTACTTGGCCCCCAAACTCATCCTGTTATCTTTGTTTTACAGTTTGAGTAAATATAACTTTATTATTTTAAAGGAGAGGCTAATTAAATCCTTCAAGTAGAGTTAGTATATCACACTTCCATTCTCGTTTTTACAAATGAGAATGTACTCACACTGTTCAAGAGAGAGAGAGAGAGAGAGAGAGAGAGAGAGAGAGAGAGAGAGAGAGAGAGAAATGTGTTTATATTTTTGTGTTAAAATAGCTGTATTCTCTCATGGTCATATTTTTTATGGCATATTACTTATCTCTTGCTCTTTTATTCTATTTAATTTAAATCCTGATTCTACCTTTTACTACCTTAGGAAAGTTACTTAACTGATCTATCCTTCCTGTTTTTTACTTGTAGAGTAGGAATAATAACAATGTGTCTTATATAATGTAGGATTTTTGTGAAGATTGATTGAGTTAATATATGCCAAGCACTTACCTGTGTAAGCATACTGCACCAAGGAATTCAGTGCATTAGGATCAATTCCTTCCATCTTGATTTCTTCTTGTTTGGCTTCAAGCATATCATTAGTAAACATTGCATCAAAATAATCGGACACTGCACAGAGAACCAACCTGGAAATAGGAATGTTTCATAGGAACTGTAATCAGTCCATAATCTTATTGAAAAGCATGAAATGCAGTCAGTATGTTTGTAACACTGGTGAGACTGTTTTCTGCTTAAATCTTTCACAGTTCAGTGAAGTGTAGCGAAATTAGAAAGGCACATTAAGTAAGTTGATTTTGTTTTAGACCACAATGTTTTTCTTCATCAATTTCTCTAAAGTTTGGTTCTTCTAAATATCACACAGGAAAGTGAAAAATATATGCTAACATTTTTTTCAACATAGGATGATGAAATTTGGTTTTCCTCAGTGTTCCAATTATTGGGTTGTCGGAAATGTCACGACGTATTTTTTTCCATGTTTTCTATGCAAAAATGCATCATGACTTTTCTGACAACCCAATAGTAATCAATGGACTGATTCTTTCTCATTCATACTCACTATACTCACCATATGTACTGTCTACAGGATACTTACCGATGTGCTGGGATTCGAAGGTGTCCAGCAATGAGTAGCACATCACACAGTTGTCTCTCTTTCAAGTAGCTTTCCATTTTACAGAGAGTTATATCTGCATGGCTTAAAACATGGCACTTCTCAGATATGCTGCTATTTATTTCTTCAGGATTTTTTTTATGTAATCTGAAAGGGGGATAAGGTGAGAATATGGTTTATTCTCCTGAGTGTGCAAATGTCCGGTGGATATTTAGACACACCAACTTCTAAAAAGTATATATTGGATTAAAGTAATATTAGAAAATTCCCTCTGAGCCTAAATATTTCACTATAATTACTGCCAGCCTTCCATAAAGTGAAATGTCAGTTAGTATTTATATCTGGAATGGGACCATACTATGTATGGTTCAGCTGCAGGGTTAGTGTTAATTGACATATGCACAAACATAAACTTCAAAATACCAGCATCTTTCTTTAATTTTTATTGGTATCACAATAATGTCATTAGGCATGAAATTATAGGCACGATTGAAAATACTTTTCAAATATGATTATGTCCTGAAGCTTCTCCATGTGCACTCATTACACATCAGAAATATTTCTTGAAGAATCAAGCTTCAGAGTTTCATAACATTCTTTACAATATGTCAAACCCATAAAAATATACATAGTTCCACCTTTTGTATCTCTTTTCCTGCTTTATTGAGATATAATTGACATATAACATTGTTTAAGTTTAAGGTGGACAACATAATTTGATATACATATATATTGTGAAATGATTACCACAATGAGGTTAGTTAACATATTCATATCTACCACCTCACATAGTTACCATTTTGTGTATGTGTGGTAAGAACATTTAAGTTCTACTCTCTGAGCAATTTTCAAGTATAAAATACAGTATTAACTTTAGTTACAATGCTGTACATTAGATACCCCAAAATTATTCATCTTCTAACTGGAAGTTTGTACCCTTTGACTATTTAAGCAAATATGATCACTGTCGAATTTACAATAATGAAAGCTATCTACATGTCTTTTCAACATCACACAATGGTGAAATTTAAATACTAACACAAGCACATAGAGGCTTACAATCAGTTAAAATCTTAAAAAGTTGATGGTTGGATGAATACACTTAAATACTTTGCTTGTTACCTTTTTTTTTCTCCTTCCAGCATCATTTTCCAACCATGAGTTAGAATTACTTTTAGTTTCCCCCACTCCAACTCAGCTTGTTTTTTGTTTATTTTTTTAAGGCCATTGGTCCAGGGTGACATTACTCTCTTTTTCTGTTTAATTCAAATAAATGATTCATCTCTGAATCTTTTAAACTTTTAAAGACTCTTTGTGACAGTCACAATATTGTTTAAATAATCAGTGTAATATGGTATGAATAACCTTAAATGCAAGATACAGATGATGTGTTATAGTATTACACACTTGAAACTTATGTTATTTTTTATTAAGTTATTAGGGTTACATTGGTTCATAAAATTATATAGGTTTCAAGTGTACAATTCTATAATACATCATCTATATATTGCTTTGTGTGTTCACCACCCAGAATCAGTTCTCCCTCCATCACCATGTATTTGAACCTCTTTTCCGTCTTCTATCACCCCCCTTCCCCCTTACCCTCCGGTAGCCACCAAACTGTTGTTTGGGTCTATGAGTTTTGGTTTCTTTGTCTGTCTTGCCCTTTTGTTGCTTTCACTTTTACATCCCTCATATGAGTGTTGTCATATGGTTCTCGACTTTTTCTGTTTGTCTTATTTCGCTTAGCATAATAATCTCAAGATCCATCCATTTTGTCGCAATGACAGTATTTCATTTTTTCTTATGGTCGAGTAGTATTCCATTGTGTATATGTACCACCTCTTCTTTATATAATGTTATTAACCTTGTTATCCAAATAAATGTAAGGATTGTCTGTTACAAAATATGCTTGTTTACTGGTTTTGGAAAGGAAATATCCCTTGGCACCACAGATTTGAAAGCATTCAGTTTCCACTTAATTCACTTACCTTAAACTATCCTCTGCTTAAGTAATCATTTGATTCTCACTGAGTCAATCAAACATTCAATGTCTAATTATCTTAGCTATTCTCACAAATACTCCACCATGTATCAAAGAGGGCCATATTCTAAAGAAGGAATCTGTTTCGGAAAATAAGTTCTAGCCAGGAAAATATTTTATTTTGTGAATTTCCTTCAGCTTTATTTGGCTAAGGACAAAAAGTGCCTTAAATTACTAGCTGGTTCTGGATATGTTTACCTGGGCATTGTAAATTTATTAGATATCTGTTGTGTATTTTGTAATTAAAATGCAGATTTTTAAAACCTAAAAATATTATCAATATGAACCTCACATAATTTTGTTAGATTTCAAAAGACTAAGGCAACTCTGTCTTGTGTCTCATCAAGGAATAAGAAATTAGTGCTCTAAGAGATATGAGTAGATCAAATTATATTGGGTTGTCGGAAAAGTGACGACATATTTTTTCTGTTTTTTGTTGCAAAAATGCATCATGACTTTACTGACAACCCAATAGCATCCTATATACAACAGACATTAGCGTAAAGATATAAAAATATTGTAATCTACTGTTGGTCATTATCGAAGCAGAATGTAATAAAACAAAACAAACAAGCAAACCAACGACAATTAAACTAGTCTTTTGAAACTTAACTGATCTTAAGTTCCCGGAGCTCATAAATTACAGTTTTATTGCCTCCATTTTAGATACTACAATGTCAGATCATATGTTATAATGAAAGCCACTGTATTAGAGAATGTTCTTCCCTATTCTTCATTGTATGGTAACTATAGAATGTGACATGGGAGACAGCATGGTGGAATGAAAAGAACACCAAAATGCCTGGATTTAGTTCCTGCCCTGGTACTTACAAGCTGAGTGATAATAGGCAAGTCACTTTACTTTCTTTTTTTTTTTAAGATTTTTATTGGGGAATTGGGAGGGATGGGAACAGTGCTGGGGAATTGGGGGAAGGGGAACAGACAAGTTGCTGTCGTTTTTGTTCTTCAGTCTAGTTGTGGAGGATGTTGCTTCACTGGCCCAAGTTGACACCATCATTGCGCTCTTCCCGGGCGAGGCAGATCAGTCACCGGCTTCTGGACGGCCGCTCACTGCGGCTGCTGGCCGCTCACGCTGGCTGCTGGCTACACACAGCAGCCCATGGCAACCCACTGCCACAGGGGCTGCAGCCTCTGCCGTCACCGGCGACTCAGGGCAGCCCAGCTCCAGGTTGAGCTGTTGTTTAGCATCTTAGCTGTGGAGGGCAGTGTCACTGGCCCTCATATGTGGGATCCGAACCGGGGCCCTCTGGCGTCCCAAGCCAGTTCTTAACCATCGCGCCACTCGGCCGGCCCACTTTACTTTCTAAATATTAATTTTCTCCTACAAAATGGGGATGCAAATAATACTAATACCAATGACACCAACAATAGTGCTTGTGTCACAGGGCTACTCAGATAATTACATAAGATAATGTGCATTAAACTGTCTGTAGAAAAGTTAAGTCTTATGTTTAGTCCTAACTATGAAGATGTAGTTATTTCCATAAATATCTATTTTTTGTCTTGAAGTATTAATTATTTAATGAATTGACTTTATATGTTAGAGCAGTTATAGGATTACAGAAAATCAGAGAAGTACAGATAATTATTTATTTTTGGTTGTCACAACTAGAAGGACATTTTTGTTGTCACAACTAGGGAAGGTTGCTACTGCTATCAAGTGGGTGGAGGACTGAGATGCTGGTAAAGATCCTACAATGCACATGACAGCCCTCTACCAAAAGGAATTATTCACCATATATTTGATCCCCTTGATGAAAGAAGAACTGACTCTGGGTGGTGAACACACAATGAAATATATTCATGATGTATTATTAAAATGTATACTTGAAACCTATGTAATTTTACTATCCAATGTCATTCCAATAAATTTAATACATAAAACAAAAGAATTGTTCAGTCCAAAATGTCAGTGGTGGCAAATTTGAGTAACTCTGGTTTACTTCTTAATTACACAATTAACTTTTTAAGCTTTAAAAAGCAGGGACCAATGCAGATGACATGATAATATATAGAGAGAGAACCCCAAAAACACCATCAAAAAGCTATTGGAACTGATAGATGAATTCAGTAAGGTAGCAGTATACAAAATCAATACCCAGAAATCAGTTGCATTTGTATATACCAATAATAAACTATCGGAAGGAGAAATTAAGAAAACAGTCCCATTTACAATTGCTTCAAGAACTATAAAATACTTAGGAATAAACTTAACCGAAGAAGTAAAAGACCTTTACTCAGAAAATTAAGACACTGAAGAAAGAAATAAGATACAAATAAATGGAAACACCTACCATGCTCATGGATAGGAAGAATTAATATAGTTAAAATGTGCATACTGCCTAAAGGAATATATAGATTCAATGCAATTCATATCAAATTACCAAGGGCATTGTTCACAGAAATAGAAAAATATGATCTTAAAATTTATAGGGAACCATAAAAGACCCCGAATAGCCATGGCAATCCTGAGAAATAAGAACAAAGTCGGGGGCATCACGCTACCAGAACATCAAAACATACTACAAGGCTACAGTAATCAAAACAATATGGTACTGGAAAGAAACAGGCACATAGATCAATGGAACAGAATAGAGAACCCAGAAATAAATCCATGCATCCATGGACAGTTAGTTTATGACAATGGAAGCAAGAATTTACATTGCAGTAAAGATAGTCTATTTAATAAATGGTACTGGGAAAACTGGATTGACACATGCAAAAAAATGAAACTGGACTACCTCCTTACACCATATACAAGAACAAAATCAAAATGGATTAAAGACTTAAATGTAAGACCTAAAACCATAAAACTCCTAGAAGAAAATATAGGGAATAAATTTGCAGGCATTACCCTGAGCAATATTTTTACTGATACATCTCCACGGGCTAGGGAAGTAAAAGAAAAAATGAAGATATGGGATTACATCAAACTTAAAAGTTTTTTTCACAACAAAGGAAACCCATCAATAAAACAAAAAGGAAGCCTACTGAATGGGAGAAGATATTTGTCAATGATATATCTGATAAGGGGTTAATAACCAAAATTTATAAAACACTCATGCAACTCAACACCAAAAAA